AATTCGACAAGGCAGATGACGCCTCTAAAATTTGGGCTTAAGTATGTGGACTGCAGGGGCTAATTAATGAAATAATATATATATGATGAAACGGTTAGTAACACAAGAGGGGGGGTGATATGTGTGGTGTGTGGAACCGTGATAGTTTTTCGCACAGTTCTAGTGTGGGGTTCAGGGAATTGCGAAATAGTAAAGTACACAAGAATTTAACGAGGAAAAATCCCTTGGCTCAAAGGGATTAAAAAACCTCGACCTCCCTCGGAGGAATTTTAAACAACTTCACTAAAAAGCCTTTTGTGGTTAGAAGGTAAATTCTTCTAATCTACCCTTGAGCCACCCCAACTCTATCCTCTCTAGGAAGAGTTATGCATCTCTACTTTGCGAGTAGAGAGTCTCTCAGCTTTACAACAAAGCTCTCACACACACGACCCCAACCCGAGGAAGCTACACATTATCTTTTCCTCAAAATCTAGTTACAGGATAAAGAAGAGAAAGGAAACTATATCTAGAACTCTGTGAGCAGGTCTAGGTGCCTTGGTCTTGATAGTCTTTATACGTATTTCTCTCTGTAATTGCTCGGTCAAGCACCCTCTTCTTCTCTTGGTCTTTGACTATATATAGCCCAGAAGATATCCATTGATCCTTCTTTCATTAGAAGCTTTGTAGACTTGCCTTGATATCTTTGAATTACTTTCCTTCTAGTAGCTCCTCTTTTATTCGCTCAATCATGAGCAAAATTGATTCATGATTTACGAGACATCATATAAGGAAATATAGTTTTACTTATTATGTAAATGTGCAAAGGACAATAAGTAGCAACAAAATATTCATGTAATCAGATTAAATTGAGCTACAATAATCTCCATATTCCGAGATCCTTTCTAAAAGATATTTATTTAATATTTCAAACAAGGATGATTTTACCAAGTATAGCATGCTACGGACAACTATAAATACAACAAGGTATTCATTTAGCACAAGTAATGATTACTTCCATAAAGTGTATTAACCATAAAGTCACTAGTACAAAAAACACATTCTATAACTAGCTTTTTATATGGGTTCATTTAAACCCCTTATAAAATGTAGGTGTGGGGTCATATTTATAAATATTGAAAGTTTCGAATAACTTAATGGGTAAGTATTATAAATATAAAACTTTATCCATAACGGGTTTATAAATAACCGACATAGTTAACTAAAGACGGGGTTATTTTTATAATTTTCACAAACTTAAGTTTCAAATGGGGTCTTTTTTATAATTTTAACTAATACTTTTTTATGTCAGGCAGTTGTTAACCCTTACGAAAGGGTTAATCCCACTAAAAGCTCTAGTAACCGAACAGCCAGATGTACAACCCATCGTTAGCTTCTTCGACTGTTCCAGAAGAAAGACGAAGAGGACGACATTGCACTGCTTCTCTTTGTTAACTCTCGGCGTCAAACAGCTTTTCATTAACACTCGACGATGTGATGCTGCTCTTCGTTTACTCCAGATGCGACGCCGCTGCTCTTCGTTCCACAGTCTACACCGCACCGTTGCCGTTGCCACTGCTCTTCTTTAACACTGGACGACGCACCGCTATTCTTCGTTAACACTCGACGTCTCAGCGTTGCTCCTTGCTATCAGTCGAAGACCTACCAGTTCCGGAGACTTTTTCTGCTGTGCATTAACCACCTTTCACAATAGATAATTTGTCATTGCTTTTTATTTACATTATACACTGAATACTTTTATCAGTTATGCTTCAATTGTTGTACTATTGGTTTTATTGATCTAGATGTTGCTTAAAAATTTCACACAAAAGAAGATACCAAGTCAATTTTACTCTATTATGTTTTAGTTTAGACTATTTTAAGCTATTTTAAGACTTTAAGCAACCAACTATCCTTTACGGTTTTCAATTTATATTATCAAATGAGAGAGTAACCGGAAACTAGAAGAATAAAGTTATGGAACCGAGCAACACTCGTACCATGTGCTTGTCAGAATCGGCTAAAGGAGGCAAAGATGTGTATAGCAGCAAAGAATCCGACGTTTCTTCCGCAGATCATCTTGTTGTAATGGTTCACGGTATTTTTGGAAGGTATAAGCATATCTGGTTTTATGTTTATATTTCAGCTCTGTTTATTGACTTGTGTACTCATATTGGATGAAGATTTTAGCTTTTGTTCCTTTCGGATTATGGAAATGTCTGGATTTTAGGTAGCATTCTTTTTTGAAGCTCTTGATCGATTTAGTAGTTTTACTTCTGTAAACTGAAGTTTTCATCCAAATTACTCTTATAAGTATCAATTTTTTTCTATGAGGTGGTGGGTAAATTGATAGATTATACTCCGTGTTTGCTTTACAATGCAGTTTCATTATTTGCTTATAATTTGCATTTAAAAGCAATGCACATGTAAAAGACTGGGAGTTAGATGACTCTGTACTTTTGCTTTCTTTGATTACATCCTTCATCATTTGCTCTTCTTGATGTTGCTCGTCGATAGATCGGTAGCTTCTGAATCGTTCTGTATTTAGCTGACATTCTGACAAGAAATCTTTGGATATGGCAATGTGATTTCAAGACGAATAGTTTGGTGTACATTTTTTCCAGTTATATTCTCTTGCTTAATATTTCTTTGGTAATTTTCTGTGCTATATCAATAGACATAGACATTTTAATTGATGCTACAATTGTGTTTAAGGTGCCACAACTTTATGCATTAACTGATTTTTTATTCGAGCAAAATAAATGTTGCATTTCTCATGACTTATGTTATTTGAGAAGAGAATTATCGTTGCTTAACTATTCAACCTTTTTTGTTACTTAATGTTTTGTTGTTACCACAGTACCGCAGATTGGAAGTTCGCTGCAGAACAGTTTGTCTTAACACTCCCTTACAAAGTTTTTGTTCACTCTAAGCTTACTATGTCATCAAGTTTCTCAGAGCTCTTCTGTATTCATATTCTTTAGGGTTCATTTATGGGAAGTTAGTAAAGATACTGGATATATATTGTTGCACTTATGTGGTTGCAACTTTTCTGGAATATCCATGAGTAAACATTATTTTGTGCAGGTAGTGAGCATAACACGACTATGCTAACATTGGATGGTGTTGATGTTATGGGTGAGAGATTAGCAAATGAGGTATGTCCTTAAATATAGTTCCTAGAAATATTGTTTACTCCCCATCCCTGGCAAATAGACTTAAAAAGTTCCATCTTCATGTCCTTGAAGTAATCTAAGATAAGCCTGGTTTACAGAAGATTTCTTTTGTTGCACATTCTGCTGGAGGACTTGTTGCTAGATAGTCCTCCAAAAAGGGACAAAGCAGACGACAGAAGGATTTTCTACTATTGTAGACTTGTAGCAATTAAAGATGCTAATTGTTTTTTCTTGTTGCTTTTTCTAAGTTGTTGACTACCTTGTGTAGGAGTCATCAGAGTTTAAAAAACACTTGAAATGGCTGTTGACTCAATCAAAGCAATTGCAGCTAGTCATCTTTGGCAGGTTTGGATTTGCAGAACTTAATATTTATCTGATTTTCTATTTAACCCTTTAAAGTCTCTTATATTCTGTAGCTTGTAGTTGTGCGTGCAGACTTAGATGGCCACTTAAAAGCCCTCAAAGATTATTTTCTTCGGGCAAAAGGTGATTTCTTTCAGACAAGTAATCTGATGTTCAATGTTCTTTTCTACTGATGCAGTTTTTTTGTTCTTTAAGGCATGTAATAAAAGTTGTGTTTTTTATTTTTTATAAACGGAAATATTTTAATATTTCTATATTGAGGAAGCCATGGTCACTTCGGTGTTCCCAGATGATAGTAATGTTGTTGTTTTACTGTTTTAGGAAATTGAATAGTTTAGTTTTCATTTGCTCAGGAAATTGAATAGTTTAGTTTAGTTACACTTCGGAAAGTAATTCAGGCCTCTATTGGCCATACCTAATTACAATTAAAGTCCTATTTCTGGAGTCTGGACATCCTAAAATAACATGAAGATGGGATGAATGAAAAGCTGTCAACTATTGACTTGGGCAACCAGAATTCTGGAACTGAGCAGAGTAAGTGGCAATATGAGCTTGTTCAGGTTGCTATTGAGCTTATAGGGGTAAGAACTCCTAACTATTGACATGCTTTGTATTAAGAACTCTTATCTATTGACATTTATCTGTAGTTTACTATTCTGGTGTTTTTTTGAGAGGTGATTAATTGTCGCCTGATTGCCAACTGACAAATCTTATTTGCACTCAACCCTTTTCTTATCTTAAGCAGTTGAATGTACTTGTGTCCTTGATTGTTAGAGGACTGATTAATCTACCTCATTGGTCATTTCACAAGCTTATAGGTCATAACGAAGCTTCTGTATCTTATGAACCAAGGAGAAACATTCACAAAGGTCAGTTGTTGAAATGTTCAACGGCATATGATGGGAAATGAAATAATGAGTTCATGTATGCACAAATCTAATCACTGATGGCAGGAACATTTTTTTTCGGGGGGGGGGGGGGGGGGTGTAGTACTCGCTTTCCTTCTATGTTGTTTTGCCATAACTATATATATTTGCCCACTTTCTGTTATTTTGCTTCTATGTTGGTTTCAATTACATATGCCCGTTTATACATCTACTTGTCAAATAAGGTCCTAGTCTCACATTCTGATTTTGTTGGTCTTCAAGTTCTATGATGCTCTGGCAAAACTGTTGGTTTAATTTTCTGTTGCTAGAAATTATTAGTTTGCGTTGAGCACGTGACTGTGGCTAACGGGGAATATTTTCTGTTTCATCTTTTCTTTTGTGTTGAAATAAATCTGTAGTTTGAAGCTACGGAAGTGTTTTTTTCCGTGACAAAGCTATTCTAATCAAAAGATGTTGGTCTCAGGAGAATGGTGTATTTGATCATTAAGGAGCTCTGTCCCTCTGAAGATGAGGTTAGTTTCAACTTGTTTCTTTTTATATTTGTTTAAACTTATGATCTTAGTAAGAATCAAAGTGACATGTTTTTCTGGCATAAAAGGTTATCATGGTGACCAGCTCATTGATGAAGGACGTGAATAGTAAAACTGATATGTACAGGGCAAATGCTATCCGTGTCCTTTTCCGAATCACAGTGGATAGAACCCTTCTTACTCAAATAGAAAGATACTTGAAGCAAGCCATTGTTGATAAAAATCCTGTTGTTGCCAGTGCTGCGCTTGTCAGTGGAATTCACTTGCTTCAGGTAGAAAAATTAGTCAAACATCTCCTCTTACTTGTTTCTTAGTGGTACACCCACTCAAAGAATCTTATTGTCATTATTATTAATGACTCATTTTATTGGCAGACAAATCCGGAAATTGTGAAAAGATGGAGCAATGAGGTACAAGAAGCCATTCAATTAAGGGTTGCCCTTGTACAATTCCATGCACTTGCTCTGCTGCACCATGTTGTGCTAACTATTTGTTGAGGATGACCTGTTTTTTAGTCTTTCTTTAGTCTTCCTTTATCTATTTGTTCAAGCTTATATTATCTATACTATTTGTTGAGGATGCCAAGTGACAAATCTTAGTTGTACTCAACCCTTTTCTTATCTGTAATTTGCTTTGAACCTAAGTAATTTGGTGTAATATATATTATTGTATATATAAAGCTAAAAGGAAAATCTTTTTTTAATAAAATTATTACATTTTAAAATATAAAATCACTTATATATATGTATATGTATATATATATATAAGTGACAGTAAATCTGTAAATGCTTTTTTTTAAAAAAGCGACTTTCTATAACGGTTGGTGATTTAACCCATATAAAAAGGATTTTATATGGGGTATTACCGGACTGACACGGAAAACATTCTATAACGGTTAAATTCGTAACCGTTATAAAAAACAATCTATAAGGGGTACGACTACCCGACACGAAAAGTTCCCGACTTTCTATTTCACTAGCTTCTATGTCGTTACGGGAATCGACATAAAAGTGTTTTTAACCCATAGAGAAAGTGTTTTCTACACTAGTGAGTGGGTGCTTAGTCATGCTAGCATGACAATTATTTATATCGAACAGAACAAGATAAGTTCCAATAGTAGTTCTATCCAAAGGTCCCACCTACATGGTTAGTTAACTAATGATTTATTGTTTGGACCCAGGGATAGTGTTCAATTCTGTTTAAGGTTAGTCATCAACAAAACTAAATAATCAACAAATTCTCCCTTTTTGTTGATGACAAACCTTAGGTGCCGGAAAAAGTCCTGCAGATTAGTGTCACAACAGACAACGAGAATGAAACATAGTAGTAGCAGTTTAAGTGTAGCAGCAAAAAGGAAGGAGGCACCTCATTATTTCCCCCTTTTGGCATCAACCAAAAGGAAACGGAAAATAACCAAAACAATGCCGGAAAGCATGTAAGTAAAAGTATTCAAGTATGATATCCCTTCCCAAAAGCAGTATAATTAGAAAAGTTGTTTATGATAGCAAATTATTCTTCATCGGATGAAGATACGATCCTCCTGTGGAGCCCTTCACTGTCTTGCTCAAACTTGGCCAATACCTCACTTTGAAGAGATTTTAATTTTGTGCGAACTTCATCAAGCCGACTGGAAAGCGTGGTCACCGACTCTGCCAATGAATCAAATCGTCGTAGCATAGTGAGCTCCATAAGGTGTAGTTGTTCTTTGACAAGAGAGACAAAATGCATTGGATCAGGAGAGGCAGTTGGAACAGGCTTTGGTGTAGGGGCTTTGGCTGAGGGAACGGGTGTAATCGTTTCCTTGAAGACGAGCTTGGTATTATGGACACCTATGCCATAGGTTTGGAGACCCTTAGTGTCAAGGTTCTTGTGAATTATGTGGTAGGGCAGGTTATCGAGAGAAACTTCCTTTTTGATAAACAATTGCGTCAGGATAGTACCAAAGGGAATCCCAACTTTCCTAGAACGATCACTGATGGTGAATTTTAGATGAGCAAACATAAGGCCAGACAGGTTAATTGGGATTTTAGTGGCTAAGAGATACATGTAGGCAACTTCTAGCCGAGATGAAATCAGCCTTCTACCCGGCCGGGTATGAAGTGACAAAGGAAACTGCTGCAAACTAGCAAATACCCGGTCGGGTATTCTGTGATTTCGGACCAAAGGACGTGCTGAAGACACAAAAACATGGGAAAATATTTGATTTGGTAAATACCCGGTCGGGTATGTCAAAATACCCGGCCGGGTATCCGGCATTAGGTGTTGAAAACACCTATAAATAGCCCCATTTTCCTTCACATTTCATCATCCCTTCTTCCATACTCTTTAGCTCAGTTTAGAATAGCATTTCTTTATATTTTTCTAGCTATGTTTAGTCTCCAAATGAGTAGCTAAACTTCCATTCTTGGTTTTGCTCTTGAAGCTTGTTGATTATTAAAGTTGTGAGTTATTTTCTTAACTTCTTCTCTTGATTATTAATTCTTCCCTTAATCTCATTCTATATTAATGTTGGAGGGTTGCTAAGTGACGATTAGTTAACGTTCCGACATTAATTACTACTAGAAAAGATCAACGAACCGATGGTTAATCGTTGGTGGTTTCACAAGTAAGTAACTTCGGTTTATTAATGCACGGTCGTGGTTAATAGACTTAAGAGGGATCAATTTTGTTGGTTAAACCGAAACCGTTGTGTTAAGGTTATCAATCTCAATTGATTTCATCAAGGAGTTAAAAAGATTAAATGCTACTATTATATCGGTATAAGGCGTTGTTCTATATTTGATTAATAGTAAGGGTTATTAATGAACGGTCGTTGTTAATAACTACCCTCGATGAATTGGAGATACTCCTCGATTGAGTATTCGAGAGGGGATAAGTTATAGATATAACAAGGATCGACTAAAATATATCAACAAGTGGAAAGTAGCAAAGCCAAGTCCCTTTTATTCTTGAATTAAACACATATAGGTTGTTCATCTTAGTTTTTAATTAAATTAAATAACTCAAACATAAACCCTTAGGTGGTGATGGCGGATATGGCGGCAGCTCAGACACAAACGATGATGAATACCCATATACAGGCGGTTTTCATGACAGCTACTATGGTCAGGGTGGATTCTTTGATGGAGGAGATGCGGGCGGGCACTAGGGGCAGTGCCATGAACTAGCTGGGGGGGAGAACTATCAGAGATTCATCCAGCGCTAGTTCTCATTCTAGCGAGACCGAAGAGTCAATAACCATGGATCTTGAGACAAGAACACTACGGGAGCTCACTGCTCCAAATCTCAATCAACAACCATTATGTATTACCTTCCCTACACTCGATGAAGGTAATACATTTGAGCTAAAATCTGGGCTCATACATCTACTGCCATCCTTTCATGGCCTAAGGGGCGAGGACCCCAACAAACATCTCTCGGAATTCCATATTGTCTGCACAAGCATGTGCCCCAATGGAGTCACCGAGGAACAAATCAAATTGAGGGCTTTTCCATTCTCCCTCAAAGACACGGCGAAGGATTGGCTATTCTATCTCCCGTCAGGGAGTATAGATACATGGGCATCAATGAAAAAGTGCTTCCTAGAAAGGTACTACCCTGCATCTGTCTCATCATCTTTGAAAAAACAAATAAGCAACATCGAGCAAAAAGATGATGAGACATTATATGAGTATTGGGAGCGTTTCAAAAAATTGTGTGCTAGCTGCCCATATCATGGTTACACAGAGCAAGACCTCATCCTCTACTTCTATGACGGTCTTGCGGAGCAAGATAGACGCCTGGTGAACGCAGCATCTGGAGGGGGAATTATCAACAAAACCCCTTCCCAAGCTAGGAACCTCATCTCGGAGTTGGCCGAGAATTCTAGGCACTACAACGGGAGGTCATCATCAAAACGGGTCATGGCAGCGGAGTCCAACATCTCGTTGGAAAGTCAAGTAGCCGGCTTGACTTCTTTGGCAAAGGATTTCCTTTTAAATCCAAAACACCAAGAAGTCAAGGTCTGCGGCATATGCTCGACACAAGGGCACCCCACCGATTCCTGCCCAACACTACAAGAGGAGAATTCCGAGCAAGTCAATGCTTTGGGATTTCAAGGTCAAAAGAGGTATGATCCACACTCTAACTCCTACAATCCTGGGTGGAGAGATCACCCGAATTTGAGGTATGGGAATCCTCAAAATCAGTCCTTTCCACCAACTTTCCCAAAGCACCAAGGCCAGACGTCAAGCTCAAGTATGTCCACCGAGGACATGATCCGAGCACTCACCTCAAATGTCTCAACCATGCAACAAAACATGGTTCAATTTCAGCACGAGACCAAATCCAGCATTCAGAATTTGGAAAACCAAGTCAGTCAAATTGCAAATGCCGTGAACCGACTTGAAACAAAAGACTCGGGTAAACTCCCATCTCAAACGGAGCAAAACCCGAGACAACATGTGAATGCTATAACGTTGAGAAGTGGTGCAACGTTGAAAGAGGCAGAAGAGAACGATGAAGAGACTGAGGGTGTGGACCCTGGAAAAGTAGTCCCACCGGAGGAGGAAAACACAGAAACCAAGCTTCCCCCACCCTCATCATATGAACAAGAAATCCCGTTTCCTGAGGCGCTGAAGGAGACAAAGAAGCTAGAAAAAGATGCCGACATCTATGAAACTTTCGCAAAGTGTGAGGTAAACATTCCGCTTCTTAACTTGATGAAAAATGTCCCTCGTTTTGCTAAATTCTTAAAAGAATTATGCAAAACAAAAAGAAAAGATAAATTGAAAAGGAAACAAGAGGTTAGAGTTAGTGAACACGTCTCGGCCATTTTTCAGAGGAAACTCCCCGAAAAATGTAACGACCCAGGCATGTTCACTATCCCTTGCAAAATAGGAAACACCACATTTCCTAAGGCCTTGTTGGGTTTAGGGGCATCAATAAATGTCATCCCCTATTCTATTTATAAAACTCTACAACTTGGCCCATTACATCAAACAGGTGTAGTGATTCAATTGGCAGATCATTCTAGTACTTACCCGAAGGGTGTAGTAGAAGATGTGCTAATAGAAGTAGAAAATATGGTCTTTCCTGTTGACTTCTATGTCCTTGAAATGGGAATTGATGACCAAACAACACCCATCCTTTTGGGTAGACCCTTCATGAAGACCGCAAAAACGAAAATTGACGTTTCTAGTGGTTCACTAACTTTAGAGTTCGATGATCAAAAAGTGGAGTTCAACATCTTGGACTCTACGAAAAAACAAATGCAAAATCCAACTCTGTGTTCTTTACATGTTGTTGAACCACAAGAACCGCTGTTTTTCGAAGAAGCGGAGAAAATCAGATGTCTTTCGAGAAAGAAACCCCGGCCTTACTGGAAAAGGCCGAAAAATAAAAATGAAAAATGGCCAAATAGGGCCTTGAAAAGTGAAACAAGGGATGCTCATGATCCCACATAAAACAAAACCAAAAAACAATGAATAACGTCGT